TGTACTTCAAAGCAGTCATTCTCTTAAATTCTCACGATGACCGAAATATTTGATGATCAGTTAATACTATCCTATTTCAAAGATTTTCATAGTAAAGAAAAGGCGAATTCTATTTTTGAAGAACTCTGTACGTATCCTTTCCAACCTGTGAAACTGAATATTTACGGCCACCAATATATTCCAGCTCGACTTTGTTGCGCTTTCGGGGATGAAGATGGACTCACCTACAGTTTTTCGGGGACATCGATCGTCGCCCAGGCCTGGACTCCTATGCTGCACCAAATTAAAAGTGAAGTGGAAGCCCTCACCCACGAAAAATATAATTACGTTCTGCTCAACAAATACCCTGACGGAGATGCCAAGATATCCGCGCACAGAGACGATGAAAGCTCCCTGGATCCTTCCTACTGCATTCCCACGCTGAGTTACGGTGCGACGCGAGTGATGCATTTTACAAGAGAGAATTATATGACTCACATTCTGAGTCTGGAACATGGATCGCTTCTAGTGATGAAACCCCCCACTAATGTAGTCTGGAAACACGGTATCCCATCCCAGCCCGAAGTGAAGACTATTCGAATAAGTTTGACGTTTAGAAAAATTATATCTCCGCAAGTGAAGCGTTCTTCTGATGAAATGGACTTTGGTTATTATGACGACATAATCCCTATACCGTGCATGAATAAAAGAACTTTTCCGAGGTGCTCGAGATACCCCAGGACGACTGGCTGAGTCGTCATTACCAGTCATCACGAAATCATGATGAAGTGATCAATTATTGGTCATTAGAACGGATGTGTCGTCTTTCCATCGTTGTAAGTAGAAATAATAATGTTCGAATTCTTATACAAAACTTTGCAGAAACGAATAATTTCAACTGTGGATCTTCTCTTGAGGGTGTGAGTATGACTCCTGAGACGTGGTATGATTTCATGAAAAAATTACCAAACTTTAATTTCAAGTATTCGGAAGCATCCTTCATAGCCAATAATCAGTTGGCGGTATTTTCTGCAAACGCGCAATGTGTTCTTCAAGAAATTTTTAAAAGTCCCTACGGTGGTTTCCGCCTCGTAGCAGATTGTTTTGAATTAGAGTCATATCAAACCGATAAACTTTTAGATTTATACAGTGAAATAACACAAACTATCCAAACTACCCTATTTCAACATGTGTTACCGCATGAGATAAGAAAACGGCAATCAAAATGCCAGCAGTTGGAACATTTAACTAGCGAGCAATGCATGCAAAAAGTTAACAATATTATTTACGAGGAGTACTTAACCAGTCTCAACGAGGTGTTTATCTGTGAGGGATCATCCAAGTGAGGTGCGGTCAATCATCCAAGTCAACGTCGCCATTCCCTGTATAATGGAGACAACTCGGGAAAAAGCTATGAATAATACTGACAAAGCTATATTGTCAATGAACTTTAAAAGACTTGCTCAAAAACTTTATAAGGACACTTGCTGTTGTATTTATGATAATGAAGACTTTTTAAAGAATATTTCATTGTCACCTTTACGTGATCAAATAGCAAATTTGTAAGAAAAAAAATTTAGTAAGTATGTATTTTAATAAAAAATGTTTTATTTATATTGAAATGTATCTTTACTTAGCTGTCAACTGTTTCTTATTATGTTTAAATGAATATTTCTTTACCTTAATCTTACCTCTTAAGTCTTGATAAGTTATAAGATACTCTTTTTTTTACCGTATACTGCTTATAGGAAATGATATGTTACTCAGGTTTAATATTAATGCATTACAAGATTTTACATTTCATTTTAAGTGTTGGTAAAGTTTTACTGTTCCTAATGAATGGGATTTTCGTAGTGTGTACGTGTAGATATTTAATTGCATTTATCCTTAATAATGCTTGGGAATAATTTGATAATATGTCGCATAAATATATTTTCTTTTTAAAATCTTAATTGAAAGTTAATTAAAAATTAGTTAATTAGTATTAAAATGTTAATTGTACTACAGAATGATTCATGACTTTTATGTGTGTACTGTTAAGGCTAGATAAAGTGAACTGATTTTTCCCACTGGTAGTAAATCTGCAGCCAATAAAAATATCTTAAGACTCATGTTTTAGGTAAATAAGTTGCTTTCTATAGCACATTTTCTAAAATTTGTTGGGAATTCTGGGTAAATAACTTAAATTCGGTAAAGGTTATATCCTCATTTGGGTAAAACCTTAAATATTCTATAGTGAAAAATGCTTATTTCGTATTTAGTTCTTAAGAAAACAGTTCTAAGATAAGTATTCGGTACTCGGGAAATACTGCAGGTGAAGATGAATGATTTGAATGGTCTTTGGAGTTTTTATTTCAGAAAGAGGTAATATTTAGCAACAGTTCTCGAAAATGCATAGAAAGTTCCTGTAATGCAAACATATATGTACAATTATAAGAAAACGTAACACTTATTTGGGTGTAATTTTTTATTGAAAAGGGGATATTCCTCATTAAATGTGTATTAGTAAGGAATATTTAACTGATATGATGAGTATTGTACGAAGAAATTTCTGTATTTGTGATGAAGAAGGTTAAAATATTCGAAATTATAGTGGAGATTTGGGTAAAATGTCTCTTTCTCTCTGTGGTTCCTTCTGTAAATATGGGTATATTGGTAATGATATATGTTGTGTAAAGTACCTCACAAGATTTCGTTCATAAGAAAATAAATTGGTAAATAAATTAAATAATGCAAACTGACATTTTCGAAAAGAACATTTTAGTCTAAGAAATTAAAAAATAGTCTAGATATGAAATTGTCTAGGGAATTAAGTTGGAACTGAACTAAGTTAAGAAAATGTGTTAACATTAACATTATGCGTTAGAAATTAATGCATATCAATAAAACAAACTTTCAAGAGATGAAATGGTAACCAATGGGTAAAATCGATGGTCATTCATCTCTTATTCAATACTGGAAATGTTTATCTTAGAAATTTCTTTTTATACATGTAACGTCAAATTCGTCCATTTCACATGAAATTCGTTCATGAAGGTAGAAATATCCGTACTTAGTGTAGGGAAAGGTAATAAAGTGAAAATTTACATAGTCGAGACATTTAAAGTGATGTAGAATGCATTCAATTAGTACAAATTACTGAATTAAAAGGTACTGAGCTTTCAAAATAATAAGAAAGAATTTTGTATGAGTACATGAAAGAATGAATATGGGTCTAAAATTATGGATGAAAGTTGAGATTTCATTCTAAAAATTCGGAATCTATCAAACTAGCTTAATGAGAATCAAGATTCAAAACTGAACATTGGTAACACTGAAGAGCTTAAAAACATATATTAGATATAAAGGGTATTAAGAATTAAAAGGAAATGCCAGAATATGCAGGAAATGTTAAAGTTTGAAAATGCGAATGAAGTTAATAATGAAGTAAAGTAGTAGGATCAAGTCATGGTAAGAGTACTACAGAATGATAAATTGTAGAATTGGCAAATTAAAATAGTACTATAAAATATGGACTAAGTAAGGGCTATTCAACGAATTGGATATGAATAACAGTTAAAGGTTGTAAAATAAAATGCTTAATTGAATGAAATCGATCTCTATTTTTAAGAAATTTAAGCGTGTTAATTTAGCTGAAATAGTAAAATCACAAGCGCAATTACAATCACAAATTATAAAACAGAGTTAAATTTTTAGAGTATGTTGGAAACTAGAAAGAAACCCCTGTCAGAAAAGTATAAAATGACATCTAAAATTAACTAAAGTTCATGCGTATGGTAGGAAAATGTAATAAACAAGTTCAAAATTAGAGTACTCTAAAAATTACGAAGGTATAAAATGTACGAAACATGTTAAAAATAATATCTAAAATGAAATAAAGCTAAATTAATTAGTCAAGAAAAAAGTAAAAAATGTAATAAAAGTTTAAAATTAAAAGTAAATGTTAAAATTAAAAAGTTTAAAATTTAAAAATTACGAGGTTCAGAATGTACGAAAAAAATAGAAATTAACATCTAAATTAAATAAAGTCATATACATGGAAGAAAATAGAGGAATTAAGCTAAAATTAAGAGCCGTTTTGAAATTAGGAAGGTTGAAACGTATGAAAGTCGTTACAAATTAAATGAAAGTCATTTGAAAATATAACAAATTAGTTAAAATTTTAGTATGTTGAAAACTAAAAACGTTAAAATATAGAAAAAAAATATAGAAAAGTTTAAAATTTACACCTAAAATTAAATAAAAGTCAGGTATATGATGTGAAAATATAGCAATTATGTTAAAATTAGGACTATTTGGAAATTATGAAGGTTAAAATGTATAGAGAAATGAAGTAAAAGTCATGTACGTAGTGTGAAAAATATAGCAAATTAGTTAAAACTCAGAGTATGTTGGAAACTAAAAACGTTAAAAAATAGAAAATAAGTTAAAATTTACACATAAAATTAAATAAACGTCAGGTATATGATATGAAAATGCAGGAATTATGTTAAAATTAGGACTATATTGGAAATCATAGAGGTTAAAATGTATGCGAGAAATCAAGTAAAAGTCATGTATACAGTGTGAAAATATAAATTGGTTAAAATAATTGAATAAATTAAATAGTGTGAAGGTTAAAATGTACAAAACAAGCTAGAAATGTTACATCTAAAATTAAATACAAGTCATCTATATGATTAGAAAATGTATGAAATAAGTTAAAAAAATACAGAATATGTTGAAGATCGCTAACGTTGAAAAAGAACGAAAAAAGTTAAAAATTACATCTAACATTAAATAATATAACACATAAAAACGCGTGTTTTAGTAATTACACTCGTAAAATATAACAAATAAGTTAAAAGTATTGCCTAACAAGTCTGAAAAAACTCTGGGTAAAATGAATTTAAGAATAAAAATGAGTAATGTAATGAAGATTACGGAAAGTATATGTGATATTATGAACAGAAGATTTAAGAAATAAGGTAAAATTCTGAGTGTATAGGATCACTCAATCATTAAATTCGAAAATAATCCTCGTTCAGGGTAACTAGGAGATAATCATCATATACGTAGTAAAACAGTTGGAATACGAAGAAAAAACACAAAGGCTAAAAATTTATTAACGAAGGGAAATCACCTCCGATAAATCAGTAAAATATAATCTCTTATTAAATTGTGATGACATGTAGCAGTTTTGCAGATATTCAGTCATAGGATAAATACAAGTAAGAAAATAAATATTTTCCAAAAACTGTTACGGAAACATTTTATTTTATATTGTATTAAGGAAATAACTGTATCAGTCACTTAAAACACCTACTTGATATACGTTTTTAAGAATTCAATAAGAAGTAAGTACACATTATCATATAACTACTAAATCACCTAATTAATAAAAGAAAATAATCTAAGCACACGTTGTTTCTCTGTGACGTAGCAACTACTCTACTCGCATCCACTTCCTGATAAGGCTCTCTGTCCCCATTTTCAGATAAGCCTCCCTTCCACGACTCAGTCTTCCTTCTCGGGAGCTCCCTCAACTCCCGCCCCTAAAGCTCCCGAGCCAGAACTCTCCTTTTACCTCTACTCACCTATATTAGAACAATGTGTATATAAATCTAATACATCTCCGAAGTCGCGCTTTCGAGACAGGAAAAATGCAAGTTGAATTTTGTCAATCGGCCCAGTAAGCGGAAGATTAGAACTTCCATCCCCCCCACCAAAAGTTGGATTAGTTATATTAATCTTCCTTATCCAACTTTTGTTAA